TCACCGTTGTCTGCTCTGATAACCGTAGAAAGTATGAGTTTAGAACCGCGAAAATGGTTAATAACAGAGACTTCCGCCACCTCCGCAACATGGCAACATCGGTTGGTTTGTGTTTGGTTCTTAAGTGTTTACTTTAAATCGAAGTATGGACGGGTGGGATGAGTATCTGACGGCCAGAGCCGCAACATCAAGTGGGGCAAACCTGTTTGTGGCCATATTCACACATCTGCAGGAGAAAGACGCATTCCGTAAAAGAGGCCTTTCTAACGGAAAATTCAACAAAAACATAAGATGATTTATGGCCCAATTGCGAAGTTTCTTCCTCTCAAAGGAACGGTGTTGGGAAATGGCTGTCAGACAGGACCGACACTCAGCAGGTATATACTTCTGTGGCATATTAAAGTAAGTGGCTAATTTCATGAAAGGTCAGCCGAAATTCTGAAATGTGTTTTTTGATTAGAAAGGATTGTAATGTTGATTACCAGGCAAGACAATCGCAGGATACTTCATTCAAGCCAGGGTGCCGGCTTTTAAATTTGATTCTTATCAGCCGTCTGTCGTTGAATTTGCTTTTAGGGTCTTTAATCTAAATTGTAAGAAGAATTCACGGATTCCTCTTATTCATTAAGAAGGTACCGTATCTTGCTCACAAAAATTTTGCACTGAGTTTGGACTGCATTGTATGCTTCATAATGAGCATTAATAAACGAGCAGACTCAATGCAATTTGAATGGCCTTTCACAGTCTTATGAATTTTCCGAAAGCATGGGCTACTGAAATCCGAAAGCTACCCTTTCATGGGGTAAAAAAAATTCATGAGTAAGTTATTCGCCGCTAAATAAGTGCAGGAAGGAATTTTTGCATGTCTACTATAAAGTGTAATTGAATTTATGGGGGCATCATAAATTGATGGAAAATTTTTTACCACATGAGTAGTCCTTTTTAGCCGATTGCAGTTTTTGCAGACAACTGAAAAACAGCGTATTCTAAAGCCGGCATCCTGGTCTGACTGAAATACCTGGGGATTGTGCTGCATGATAATCAATATTGCAATCTGTTCTAATCAAATACTCATTTCAGAATTTTGACTAATATTACGTGGGATCGGTCAATGACTATAAAGAAGGACAACCAAGACTGATCACCGGTCTTACCCGTAAAGATGGGCTCCACACCGCAGCATAGAGCAGGTAGCGAAACTGTCCTCTTCCGCGGCGTCTTTTTTCTTTTCATTTAAGAGGCAGCAGCGGCGCATGATGGAGGTGATCCTTTCGTAATTTCCCCGATAATCCTTCCACAACCCGTTCGCATCAGACAAACATGTGGCATAGGCGTCGGAACAAGTAACCAAACATTGTTTGAAGGCCTTCATCTTGGCGGACAGTTCAGGATTCTGAGTTTTCGCAGCCAGTATACAGCAGAATAGACCGAGAACAGCCCAGGAGAGACGCATCCTACTATATCCTCGGCAGAGTACGTGGCCTCTAGAGCATTTAAGGATCCAAAAAGGTTTATATGTCCCATCGTGTCTTTTACTTGTGTCATCCTTCCAGGAATTCGCATAGGTTAGAACGAGATCACGGCGCTCTGACCTTGTTTACCCTTCTCTTCGTCACCTCCCAACAGAACTTAAAATCGCTCTGCTAGGTGGCACCGGATGATAGACACAACAGGACCTAGCTGTACGTAGGCAGGTGTGGATAGTTTGGAAGTATCAGAGTAAATTCAGAACACATTCTGCTCAGTAAACGACTACGACTGTCGCGCAGGCCTTTCCGACGCCCGATGTCCGTACAGTCTTATGAGGCAGTTACATGTGAAAGTGAACAGTTCAATCAATGCACGGGCAATCCTTGCGCTTATTTACCGGTTTTGAATTTAAGTAAGGTTTGTGAGTGTAGTTTAAGTTTACCAAAATGCGACTAAGACGATTGTAAATCATCAAATTACCATATTAGCACGGTCACTACATAAAAGCAAGGACGCGTGATTCGTCTATTCTGTGTCATCTCATCGGTGGGTCGCGCAGCGATCCGCGTGTGCTTTTTGATATACGCAGCAGATTGAACGTTGAGCGTTTTACTTTCCTCTGAAAGTAATGTGTGATCCTGGAGTAAATTCTCCAACACGAAAATCTTCGGACTCTGTGCGAAGGCTGACCTAAATATACCATATTGGAACCATCAATTTTAGCCGTACAATCATGTAATATTCACATGCTGTCAGCAGAAGATGAGTCCTGTGAGTTAAGGCCACCCATTTATGGGGCACTGCAATGTCGTAATAATTCTGTTGTGTAAAGAAGACGCCCCTCCGTAGTCCATCGTGTCCTTCCAATGTGGACTGCATATCTTCTACGAGTTACTAAAATTTAAGCTGATTCTCGTTTCGCGACCATTGCACCCTACAGTTACCGTACAGTTGGCTGTCATCATTGACGCAGGGACATGAAGGAAGTCAGTACTACCAATTCGAACCCTTGTCATTTTCAACTTTTTTGGAATTCGACGTTCTCGACACAGTTATGTGCCCTATCTTTGCACATCAAAATTTATCTGGGTTTCTTGGAGATTTTTGGCATAATGCAAGATTTTAATTATGCCGAGATCGTACCCCAGTACTGTACTTCACTTATCGGACACGGGTGTGACCAAACAACCCCCAAGTGGCCTCCTGAGTTAAATATCAGGTGGTACATGTTCAGTAAAATCAACCCACTCGTATCGGACGGCGATAGGGGCGCAATGTGAAGGAATGCAGTCACACTGGGGCGGTGGCCACAGTCTTTGAAAACGTGAGGTCAATTACGCTGCAGTAACCAACGGATGGCGACAACCTCACGTGACAGCAGTTCCAATCTTGGCTGCATGCCAGGTTGAGTGATCGCGATCTCGTCCGTTGGGTCTAGGCCCATCCCGCACCATCCTGCCGCGGCAGATGACCTCACGGTCACTGGTGCACTAGTGCAGTCAGTGCATTGTCTCGAAACGTTGGACCTCGAATAACCCCCTCCCGGTGAACGTCCCTTCTTCTTTCAATCACATTTTGTCTGACGG